CAGCCCCCCACCGCCCCTGACTCAGTGTCACCGTGGATGTGCACATCCCGCCGTCCTTCCTATGGCCACCCTACTGTGGGGTGGGGGGGTGCGCAGCTTCCGCATCCGCAGGTGTGGGTGTCCGCCCATGCCCCACATGCTCTGGAAGGTCTGGGATCTTCTGCAACAGATGGTAGGCGCTTTTAATCCATTCTGGAAGTTTCTTAGCCATTGCAACCTTGACTGTTGCCCTCCTGTCCTTGCTGCTGTGTCTCCCCTTTTCTGTTTGTCCTTTGTCTGCTGTCTGCTCTGTTCCTTAGATTTTGGCCGCATCTGAATTGCTGTTTTACTTATTTACATGTTTGAATTGTTATTTTACCTTGTTGAACTTTATTTAATTTGCATTTTGTTTTTGTTTTTAAATTTGCTTGTCTTGCTAATAATTTAAGCCCCTTTCTTTATTGTTTTGAACATACCATGCACATTTTCTGTTTCTGCTTCTGAGTGTTCTGCTACCAGAGTGCTGTGAGTTCAGAGCTCCGGCTTCCTGTGCCTGTGCGTGCTGCTCTGTTTTCACTGTCCTTGTGTGATTGATTTATGTGTTGTACTATGACCTTAAGGTCTTTAGAGCTTTCTCTTTGGAACTTGTTTGATGCTTGGAGCAGGGTCCTGCCTTCCCAGCCAGGATCCCCGCGTGTGCTTCTGCCACGCACCTGCTCGCACTGCAGTCTTGGCATGCTGTGCCCAGTGAGTCCACCGGAAGTCAGTGCTGCGTGTGTAGGGCGGGCCCCGCGTGTGGTTTGTTGTAAAGTTTGCTTGCTGTGGATACCAACGGTTGTGGTCCTGGTTGTCTGCTCTCGTCTCCCAGCCAGCTTGGGCGCCTGCAGGAAAGGGCTGTTTCCAGGCCATCCCGCGGAGGCCCGTGCTCCAGGCCCCAGGGCTGCCGTTCCCCTTGGACTCAGGAGGAGCCGAGGAGGCTCAGAGTCTGTTTACGGGAGGGGGGCATGTGTGAGGACTGGTGTCCATTAGGACCAGACGCTGGGGTGTCTGTACGCTATAGCACATGGAGTAGGGTGACCCTGGTCTCTGGGAACCCGGAGGACACACAGCTCCTCCGGCACTCATCAGCGCGATCGTGCGCGAGAGCGACACCTCCTCTCTGGCTTCTGGCCCGTCGCTGGCTTGCCAGTGCCTGAGGAGGCAGTCTCTGAGCTTGTGAGTTAGACTCCTGGGGCTGCTGGCTGGGGTTTGCTAAGGTTGCCGGTTGGGCATGTGCGGGAGGAGCCCTGAGAGGGGTGCCTCAGGGGATCTGTCACCCAGGGTTTGCACTGGTCAGAGTTTCCTGTTGGGGTACGATGTGTGATGTGGGGGCTTAGGGTCAGGCATGCTTCCCCAGCCTCAGAGCAGGAAGGGTTTGGGCTGGAGGGAGGAGAGGAGAGGAGACAGCCAGAAGAGAGACCCCCTCCCCAGAAGAGAGGCCCCTGGCACTGTGCCTGCTGCGTGTCCCTCACCGGTTTCTCGGACTTTGCTCCTTTTCCGGTGCCCTGCCCCCTTTCTGCACCTTCCTCTGTCCTGTGAGCCAATGCTCAGAGCCCAGGGAAATTACAAAAGTCTGCATCCTGGTCCAGCATTGGGGGCTGGAGCGATCACGTCCCTGGGCATTGCATTGGTGACCAATGCCTATGGGACTGTGGAGGTGGGGGCCTGGGTCCCCGGGACCAGCCAGGGATGAGAGGTGGCAGCGGAGTCTTCGCAGAGCTGCTGGCAGGACTGTCCCAGAAGCAGGGCTGTCCTGGGGCTGGAGGCAGAATTGGCAAGCACGGCCAGCCATCGCAGGCCCCAAGGGCAGGGAGGTCATTGGACGTCGTCTTTCCAGGCGGACCTGTCTGCCCGGCCCTGCAGAGAAGTTACTGCTCCTGTTGGATGGCCCTTGGATGGTGGGGTGTGAGCCATGGCTGAGATGCAGACTGCTGGGTTCTGGGGCAAGGCCCCATTCGGGGCCCACAGACCTCTGGGTTCTGGGGCGAGGCTGAGTCCGGGACCCACAGACCACTGAGTTCTGGGGCGAGGCTGCATCCAGGCCCTCCAGCATTGGTTTGGCTGTTCGGTGCTGCCTGCAGAGGCTGCAGCTTTCGCACTTAGATTGCTTCCGCAACAGTAGGTACAAGCAAGAGAAAGTGAAGTTCATCTTTCTCAAGTGCCGTCAGCCTTCTGGAGCACGTCAGGTGGTCACTGTGGATCCTTGTCTCCACGCCCGCAGCCCCTGGGGTTGGCGTCCTTCCCGCGGGAAACCCCAGACCCTTGGTGCATTGGGCGGGTTCCGCACCACCGCGCGGCACTGCCGAGGAGACCTGTCCCTTCATTTCCACTGAAGAAGAAAGCGTTGGTTTGTCCAGTGACCCGCCTGCAGAGCTCAGCGCTGGAGAGAGGTGGGCCGGAAGACAGGATGGCTAGCCAGGGTCTTGAGCCTTCTGTCCTGCATCTGTCCTGGAGTTGGGCACTGGCCGGGAGGGAGGCTGCATCTCCTGGGGGCCCAGCAACCGTTACCCACATGTGGGGCTGCCGGGCCGGTGCACTCCTTCCCAGACGGCTGGGCGGCGAGGGCAGAGTGGGGTCTGGGGTCACCTGTGCATGGGTGACCCTGCCTGCACCTGCTAACTCTGCGACAAACTGGCATGCTCACTGCCACATGGGACTGCTCTGCTCTCCTTCGGCTGAGTCCCTGAGGCTTCTGCACGAACTGGATGCCTGTTTGTTCAAAGATCAGTCATTGGCATTTGCTCAAGTGGAGATGAAGCAAACTACCACAAGCAGAATCGGTTATTAAAAAGTGGTTATCAAATCAAGCCTGCACACCTCTTGGTCTTTCCCGAGTAACAGCAGAATGATGTCTTTAATGGCAATGAACAACAAACCTGTTGTGTCACGTTATTCTCCTTGCCAGCCGCAGCACCCAGGACATGGTGGAGACCCCGCGCTGGGAGGTGGGCTGTGGGATTTATTGGTCAATCAGGGAGACAATCACAGCTTGCTGATGAAGGCAAGTCCCCCCAACGCCCGGCTCCCGGGGCACCGGCACTCTGGTGGGGACAACTCCTGTAAGCAGCTCCAGCCATAAAAGTCAATACGAAGATATAGGATTTCAATAAAATTATGACACTCAATAAACCTTCCTGCGGAAACAAATTTCCCACGGACGTGCGACCCGTTCCAGTTGGATTTGTAACTTTAATTTCTCACTTAGCGAATTTCTTGTCATTGGCTAATTGTGTAGTCGGCGGCAGAGCTATGACCGAGTCTGAGGCTCACTAGTCCTGTGCCTTCCTCTGGCTGCTTCTACCTGGAGAACACTGAGTTGGGGGCTGTTCCGAGTCCATGAATGTGCCTGTGCCGGCTGTCCCTGGGGTGTGCCTGGTCACCCCACCCTGACGGGACAGCAGCCGAGAGGGAGCCCCGGGCTGGGACAGAGCCAGGCGGTGCCAGGGCTAGAGGCCTGTTTGCAACACAAATGAGGTCACTGAGCCTCGCTTCTGGGGCAGTGTACAGACGCTCCTCCCGTGAGGGCATCAACCCTCACCTCCACATGCGAGGAGTATTGACCCACTCATCTGGGACCTCTGACCTCAGGGACCCAGCTGGGCGGAGGAGAGCTGGGACAGACCTGGGCTGTGCTGCCCCAGGCAGAGGCCGCGGAGCTCCATGTCCTGCAGCAGCAACATCTCTGGGCACCTGAGTGCAACACAGGCTCTGAGGCCCCTCCCCAGACCTGCCTAGTCTGAGCTGACCTCCCCCGAGACCCCTGGAATGTGGGCCCACGTGAAGCTCTGAGCCGCGTGCACTGGTGCGCCTGGGTGTCCTGTGGGATGACTTGGGTTTCTGTATGTGGGTTTTCCTGGGGATAGCAGGCCACGAGATGTGGGCAGGAGAGCAGGCGCCAGCCCCAGCTCAGGACTGCATCCGGGCTGAGGAAGAATCCGGGCGCACAGGGCACGGGAAGGGCGGTGGGCAGTCCACGGGGGAGATATTGGCTCCTTTCCGGGTGCGGGTGCCCTCTGTACAGATCCCCCAGAGCTGTTTGGCTGCTGGACCTGGGGACAGCTCCGTCTCTGCAGCCTTCCCTGGCTGGCCTCCAGAAGGTTGTCTCCCTGCACCATCTTCCAGTCCTGGACGGGAGAAGCCGCCCACGCCTCCCAGGGCCCCTGACTCCAGTTCATGCTCAGCCTTAATAAGTGTTGCTAGCAGGGCACCTCGAGCAGTGACTTCTCCGTGGTTCTTGGTCCTGACGCAGTGGGATTGGTACATCCTTGCACAAAGCCGGTGCCTCTGCAGGGCACTCTCCCTTTGAGTGAGAAGCAGAGACAGGGTGCCCATTGACACCTCTGCGGCCTGACGTTGTGGCCCCAGGCATCCCGGGAGTTCTGAGGGGAGACAGGGAGCTTGCTGAGGCCAGAGCTGTGGAGCAAGGAGTCAGAGGCGGCTCTGAGTCTGGGTGGATGGAAGGTACAGCCAGCTTCCTCCTCCCACCCAGTTGTCTGCTGCTTGGCTGGATCTGTCCTCTCTCCTGACTGCTGCGTGCACCCTCACTCAGAGGCCAGGTCAGGAGTCACAGACGGCGTGGCAGTCACACCCACTGCTCGGCCTGGCCCCACTGCTGGGTGTCCAGGACCGTGTCTGCAGTTTGGTGGTCCCCAGGGCTGGCAGGATGGGGGAGGGGGCTGATGTGTGGCTTGGGGACCCGGCAGGCCTAGGGAGGGGTTCTGGCCACCACAGGCCACCGTAGACCCTGCAGCTCAAGGCTGGGCAGTCGTGGGGAGCACCTGGACCAAGCCTGGCCTTGGGCTGTGCTCAGGCCACCGGTTCAGATAAGCCAAGGCCCTGCCTTGGCATCACGGGCTCTGTGAGAAGCCACATGAGGGTACCCCCCACCCCCCCACTGCCTCCTGTGGCGGCTGCCGCCATGCGTGTCCCTCCAGCGTCCCATCGCCACCCCGGGCCTGACCACCCACTTTGTGTCCCTGCAGGAGAGGGACGGCATGCGCGCCATCCTGGGGTCCTACGACAGCGAGCTGACCGCAGCTGAGTACTCACCCCAGCTGAGCCGGCGAATGCGCGAGGCCGAGGACATGGTGCAGAAGGTGCACGCGCACAGCTCGGAGGTGGAGGTGAGTGTGCACACAGGCTCAGGGGTGGAGGGGAGTGTGCCAGAGGGGAGTGTGCAGGCTCGGTGATAGAGGGGAGTATGCACTCACACAGCTCAGATGGAGGTGAGTGCGCAGGTGGGCTCGGAGATGGAGGGAAGTGTGCAGACAAGCTCAGAGATGGAGGGGAGGGTGCAGGCGGGCTAAGGGATGGAAGTGAGTGTGCAGGCTCAGAGATGGAGGGGAGGGTGCAAGCTCGGAGATGGAGGGGTATGTGCAAGCTCAGGGATGGAGGGGAGTGTGCAGGCGGCCACGGAGATGGGAGTGAGTGTGCAGACAAGCTCGGAGATGGAGGGAAGTGTGCAGGTGGGCATGGCACCCTCCATCCGCCTGCCTGGTGCATGCTGGCTCTGTGCTCTGACCCAGCTGCCGGGAGAGGAGCACCACCGAGGGGCAGTGGCGGTGCTGTCGCGTGCAGACCTCCAGTCATGGTTTGAAAGGTGAGCTCCGGCTACACCGAGCAAGTCATTGTAAATATAAGCGCATTAATAGGCATTTTATTACAGCACATTTGGTGCCGTATGAAACATTAATGAAGAGAGATTTGCAGGGAAGGCTCTCTGACCTGTTCAGTCATCCCTCGCGTGTTTCACATGAGAGCTCCCCCCCGTCCGTGCTCTGTGCACACCCTCATCACTTAGTTCTGAGGCCGACAGTTCTGGCACCTCCAGTGCCGTGTTTGGGTTTGTGTGTGTCGGGGGTGAGGTGATGAGGTGACTGTAGAACTTGCGACTGGCACACATAAGCCGTCTCCCCTTTCTGGGCCCGCACACAGCCTACGTAACAGGTTCTGCTTCCGGAGAGCTTACCTGGGCCTGAACTGCTATCTGCGGGGAAGGCACTCCCTGGTCACCGTCCCCGCTCACTGTCCCTGGCCTTTCTGGAAGAAGAGCAAGCAGGTGGAGACAAGCTTACTGCCTTCAGGTGTCCTGCCGCCTTTGGCAAGGGGAGGCAGTGGTTGGGTCAGTGCATCCCAGCGGGTCGGGCCTGGACCCTGCCCTGTCCACGCTGTGCAGAGCTGTGCGCCTCCCAGCCCCCACCAGGTGGCAGCAGACTGAGCAACAGGCCCTGCTCTGTTCAGGCCTTGGGTGGGGGTGGGGGGCCTGCTCCAGGAGGAGGTCTGAGTTAGGGAGAAGGAGGGCCCAATTTTAAGAACTAAGCCCATAGCAACAAAAGGAGGACTCCGGGGTGGGGGGCATCAGGGAGGTCTCGGGTTCAGGAAGGACTTGGGGCAGCTCCCAGATGACGTGAATATGACGTGGCAGTGCCTGGCATCAGTGACACCAGCAGGCAGAGGTGGCAGCACCATGTGGCAACTGGAGCTGGATGGGGACCCAGGGCCAGCTATGCCTTTCCTGCTGTCCCCTTTCTGTGATGGGCCTCTGTCTCATGGTTGCTGTCCTGTCCTGTCCCCCTGCCCCGAGGGTGGTGACTCTGCAGAGTGGGAGGAGGAGAGCACCCCGGAGGCACTTCATTGAGCTCGGGTGAGGCAGGGCGAGGGGCCCAGCTCAGGCTGCAGACGCAGGCCCCCTGCAAGCCGGCAAACCAGTCCTCGGAAAGACAGGCTCCTTGGGGGGGGGGGGCGGGGCGTCCCTGCTGGGCCTTGGGGGGTGGACTGTGAGCTGGGGTCTGCTCTGTTTAGTCTGTCTGACCACTCCCGGGTCTGGGAGTCTCAGGGCAGGGACAGAGCCCCACTCTGAGGGGAGGCACCAGAACCCGGATGCTGGCCTGACCTGCCTTTGGCCCCCATGCAACCCTGGCAGAGCCGAGAGCCCTGCAGCCCCAGGTGTCCCACTGATGGATGGATGGTGGGTGGGCACATGAGGGTGCGTATGGGTTCCCTGTCTTCATACAGAGTACCTGCTCTGTGGCAGCCTGGGGGCCCGGCCAGACGCTCCTCCCATCCCCAGCCTGACCATTTTGGGGGATGGACCTCTGGGTCTAGACTGTCCCCTGCAGGGCAGCTCCTCAGTGGCGTCCAGGGTCCCCGAAGCCCTTTCTCCCTTCTCCTGGCTATGGGGCTACCCTCCAGGCAGGAGCCCCGACCCCGTCTCTGCCTGAGCCCTGGGCCTCGGCCACTGCTCCTGCCGGACCCTGCAAGCTTGGGCCTGTGACCTCGGCCCTGCCTTCCTGCTTCCTGACCCCCAGTGGGCAGGCAGCCCTGGGAGAGGCGTGGAGTCCAGTGCTCAGAGCCCACCCGTCCGGCTCGGGCAGGGGCAGCTTGCTGGTCTAGTCCAGCAGCCCCGAGGAAGGGAACAGACCTGGTGCTTTGCCCCAGCATTGCTCCCCCTTGGGTCACAGAGGCCACACGCTGACCCTGGACCCTGGAGGCCACAGAGTGCTGCCCTCCAGGGTCCTGGGGCGTGTTTTCCTGTTCTTGCTTATTAAACAGTAACGTTTTATATTTCTGGGACTTGAAGAGCTCTAAACGTTGCTCCAGGGGGGCCTGTCAGAAGTTTATTAGTCTAGCATCATGTATTGACACACAGTGAAAAGTTATGTAACTTCATAGAACCTGGTTGCTGCGGTTCCTTAGTGTCTCCCAGACAAGCCATCCGTCACGGCACTGATGCAGGCATTGTGCAAGGGCACCCAGAGGCCCCGGACAAGCCGCTGTGCCCCGAGAGCTCACTGGTGAGTCCCCAGAGTCGCTCCCGTTTTGTTCAAGTGCCTTAAGGAGCCACGGGGAGCCACGAAGTGCATACAGGGAAAACACCCCCATGGCCCATGGGGTCTGACTACGGAGGTGGATTACCTCTCCACGGCCTGCCCCTTTACCCCCTGCTTGCCTGATGGATTGCTGGCCTGGAAGGCAGGGTCCAGGGGGACGAAGGAGAGAACAGCGTTGCTGTGCTGGGGGCGGGATGTGCGCCTCTTTCTCTGCCTCTCCCCACCTCCACCTGCTGCTTTGTCCTTTTGTTTCCAAGCACATCTGTTTCCTTCTTTATTTTCTTTGTGTTTGGTCCTCACGTCTGTCCTTGATGTCTTTTCCCCTCTCACTCCCCGCTCTGCAGTGGCCTCCATCTCCACCCTGTCCCTCACCCTGGGCTCCCGTGGCTTCTCACTGCAGTCAGTGGCTCAGCCTTATCTGTAAAGGGCCAGAGAGGAAATACTGTGGGCCATGTGGGCTCTCTGGCCTCACGATCAGCTCTGCGGTTGTGGCAGCTGGAAAGCAGCTTCAGGCCATCTGTGAACGGTGGGTGTTGCTGTCTCCCAATAAAACTTTATTGACAAAACGGGTGGGGGGGCCTGGAACTGGGATGCCAGCTGTAGTTGTCAGATGCCTGTTCCAGCCCCACTCTTCCTGGGACCCCTTGGATGCTGCTGCTGCTGCTGCTGCTGCTGCTTGATTTGCAGCCACCACGACAGCGGGGGCGGGTCGGGGGGACCCTCTTGGGCCACACTGGACTGTCCAGCATGCGGTATGTCCTCACCTGGGCCGCGCCAGCAGGCCCACCTGTTCACTCATAGGGAAAGATTGGGGGGGGGCTGGGCGAGTTAGATGAGCTCCCCTGCTTCTTTCCAGATGCTGCGGTTCGCTCCCTGAGCTTAATCAGGTAGCTCTACTGCGGAGCACGTCTGCGTCCAGCAGACACGCTTCAGCGAGACGAACTGGGGAGGTTGAGATTGGGAGAATCCCAGTGGCCTGTCTCTGGTGGCATTGGTGCCACTTTGCATGGATTTTATTTATTCCATTTAATAAAGGGGCTGCAGAAGTTGGTAGCATATGTCACGAACCTTCCTCTGTCGACCGAGCTATAAATATGCAGCTCATGCCACTTTGATCCAACATATCTGCCTGATTTGTTTTTCCAATTTATTTAATTAAAACAGATAATGGTGCTGCTGGCTTCAGGAAGGTGTGTGGAAAAATCCCAATTTCACATGACGGTGGGCCTGAAAGCGCTTCCCAAGGCCTGCATGGGGAGGACAGCCATCCCCATGCTTCCACCTGCCCCTTCTGCGTTGCTTCCATGAGGGTCCGAGCCCAGCACTCTGCCCTCCTGCCTGGGCTGCGGGAGGGGTATTATGGCCTCAGAAGGCGCCCTGGGGAGCTCAACAGATCCACAGTGCCTACAAATGTGCCTGCTCGCTCTCCTTGCACAAAGACCCTAGGGTGACCTAGCACCCGGTGTCCAAGTGCAGTGGAAAATCATGAGGCAGCATTAAATGGTGAGCGCTATGTTAAAGAAGGGGAGACGAGCAGGGGTGAGTGAGAAGAGCTGGGCCTGGGGAACCCTCCACGGAGAACTCTTCCAAGACCCACGGGAGACAGACGTTGTGGGGAGGCACCAGCTCCCGTGCCCAGGACGGAGGCGGGGCGCCCGTGTAGGACGCTGCGACAGAGCCCTGGTCTGCATGGTCCCTAGCGCCGCTGCACAGGTTGGGCATCTATCTGCCCTGAGAAGGGCGGGCACGAGGCTTGCAGAGCCGGCTGCCATCAGCTGCACTGACATGTGACTTGCTCATGCAAATTACACCCCCGAGGGGTTCAGGGTGGTACCCGTGTTTATCTGCACACGGTGCAGGGACCACACCATGCGGCTGGTCTCCCCTGCGTCACCCGGGTGTACATGTGCACGGCATGGTCCCTGCTTTGCTCTGGTGTATGTGCACGCGGCATAGTCCCGACCTCTCCCGTTGGTCGGTTTTGTAGTGGGAGCACTTATGATCTGTTGTCTTGGCATATTTTAAGCCCGTGACACAGAATCAGTATTGTGCTCCTGTCATCGTGCTGCATGTGAGGCCCCCAGGTCTCGTTCCCCTCACACCCGGAAGGTGTACCCGCGCACCCGCACCCAGTGTCTCCCACCCGGCCCCTGGCAGCCACGTTTCCGCTCGCCCTTCCTGTGAGCTGCGTGTCTTCAGAGTCAGCCTGGATGCGAGGTTTTGTGGTGTTTTTCCGTGTCTTATTTTCTCTTAGCAGAATGCCGTCCAGGTTCCTGCATCTTGTCACACGTGGT